GGGGGGGGGAGGGCAGGGAGGTGCTTTTGAATGGGATACACCCATTTCGCTGTCGCGAATTACCGTCGGACCAACATTCCATTTGCGCTGCTCGCATGGGTGGAGGAAGAAGGGAGCGGAAAGGGGGAAGGGGGGAATGAGAGGTGCCGTATATTAAAAAACAACGCTCGTGGCTGCATTTTGCACCGCACGGTAACAGCACGCGTGACCCGGGGGGCGGGCGGGATCGCAGCCACTAGGGAGCTAAAGCGTGCATGGGGGAAGGAGAAGAGACTACTACTATGGGATGGGTGCAAAGAGCGAGCGGACGAGACGAGTGCGCGCGCGCTACCTCAGGCGTAGGCAACGCATATTATTACGGTGTGTGTTGGAGGGGGGGGGGGGGGTAACCAGCGATTATGCTTCCTCACGGTGATTGCTCCGGGATGTTATTTGGGACGGAGGAATACAAATAAAAACGAAGAGGTTCCTGCTGACTCGGTGCATTAGGTCAAAAAAGCGAACCGCTCACTATCTTGGCGGCGAATTAGTCGAAATGAAACACGCTCAATCCACAACCCTACGGCCAGCAGCAGAGGCCGGCGGAAGGGACGCCGGACTGGGGCGCTTCCGGTGCGGCGTCCAGAGGATGGACCGTTGGCTGGGTGGCCCGGCCCGACCCGCCGAGGTACCGGCTGCGTACGCGAACTGGAGCAACTGTTATCATTTTATGGCGACCACGTAAAGGTGGATTGTCGAGTAATTTTAGTATTATCTTGGGGATTCATTTCTTCTTTTTTTGCGTTCCGCCGCCTGTTTTAATCGTTTTATGGTGATTATATGGAGATAAAAAGAAGGGGAATGAAAGATATATAAAACATGTTATCAGCATAATTTTTAAAATGCTTGACTATTTATTTTTCTCAATCTACGTTCCTCCACCATTATTATAAAGTATGAATTATTTTCTCTTGGGGTCAAGGGAAGTAGAAGTCTGCGCTGTCAAAATCTCTTTTCTCATCATTCCGACGGTGTATGCGCTCTGCCCGGCTCTGCCACGTGCGAGTGTTTATGCGCGCGAAACCCGCTTGTAAGTGCAGAACGGTAAGCTCGCCAAATTAGAAAGAACAGCCCACCTGACCCGGTCTTTACCACCGTGGTAAGGAGGAAGGGAGAGAGAGAGAGAGAGAGAGAGAGAGAGAGAGATACAATGTCAGACCGAGTGCGGGAGAAAAGAGGTTGGGGAGACGAGGAAAGCAGTGAGGCTCTTCTGACTACCACATCGCCCGCCACGCCCAGCCACGCCCCACCACGCCCGGATACAACCAGTAATTAATTAGGTACTCTTCTTCGCGTGTCTCGGTCCCATATACATGCGCACACCTTCTTCTTTTTTTATTTCACGGAAGCCAACTTTTTTCGGCTCATGGGTCAAGAGGCGCCCAATTACTGACGTTAAAAGACAGCCTGCTGCGAGAGATATCCTATCCGATCCAAAAGACACCCAAGAACCACTCCTCCCCTTCCTTTTGCGGCCTTCCCCCCCGTCGTCGTTTTCGTGGAAGTCTAGGAAAGTGCGCAGCTTTTGCGCCGCACCGCTTCCGTCTGGAGAGACAGACAGTGTCGCGCGTGGGAAGTGGGTCCTCGTCTCATTCGCGTGCCGCGTTAGGGCACACGAAAGGGTAACCCCCTCCCCCCCCCCCTCTGCACCTGCCCCGCCCGCAGGCACAAACTTACAGCTCAAGTGAGAAATAATTATACACTCGATTAGCTTAAAAATTACAGGATGTGCGATGGAGTAAGCCTGCCTCGCACCAACGTTCTGAACTAGAGAGGAGGAGAGATACGGTTTGTCATGGTGGTGGTAGAAGAGCGCCCCCCCCCCCCCTTCCTCCCGCCTTTTCCAATGGAATGGCAACCTGATCAGTGCTCATCGCTGCTGGGAGGTGCAGGTTGGCCGACCTGTTGGCAGGCCTGTCTACCAACCCCCCGCGCGCGATCCGGACATGCATTCCTCTCTCTCTGCAGCGAGCCTGTCCATAAGGCGACTTCTTGCGCAATTATTGACAAATTGCAAATACGTGGCGCGCGTTTTGCGCTAACAAGTTGGCAGAGCCGTGCGACACTGAATGTGAGGTCGCGGGGCGGAGGAGGCTGCGGGAGGCTGCGTCTCTGACCGGCGCGCTGGACCCGTCGACGTCGTCGTGACGGAGCTATGAAGTCATCCGGCACTTTATCGGCCGAGCCTTCGCCGAGTTGTGATTAGAGGAGGGCACGTGCGGGGCGTAGATTGGGTCGTTCCATTGCTGCGTGACGTTCAAGGGAGGGGGTACAACAAATATTATGGGGTCCCAAAAAGGATCAGGACTGTCACTGTGGCCCGTAGGACCACCATGATATTTGTACCCCGGGGTACAAATATCATGGGGTCTCTATAGACTCCAATAATGATCCTAATCATTTTGGGACCCCATAATATCTGTACCCCCCACTAAAAGACACGTAGTAATGGCACGTGCTTGGTGTGTAGATTAGGCTGCCTAGACTGAACGATCAGCTGCTCCGACCCGACCAGAGGACGAGCAGGAATGGCGCACGACGACGACTGCAATCCGCGTCCAGAAATTTACAGACCCGAATGGCATCCGGACCAAGAGGCCGGCCGGCCCGGCCGGCGGGCGGCGTGCTAGTGCTAGGCTAAGGCTAGCCGGCTGCTGCTGGGTGCTGCGGTGTGGCGTCTCCCGTTACTGGAGTGTTGTATATGCCATCGGATAACTATTGGACCGGCTTGAGCTATCGCAGCGACGCCCGGCTCCTCCTCACGGCTCCGCGCGCCCGGCCCGGCGCGTAAATTTGCAAATCAAACCTCGTGGATATGAGATACGACCGCGGAGGGGGGTTCCAGCCGGGTTTCGGTTCCCATGATCCAGCTTTATCATCGCCTTTTCATCAGGTCGTAGTGCGTTCGTCATGTCGGACTTCACGTTATCCCCCTGACACAAAATCAATCATGGCGTAAATCTGATTCCAAACTCCAAACCTGTCACAAAAATTAATTATTCCGACCCACATAATTTTTTATTTTTTTACCCCGCAGTTGTGAGGATTGTAACAATCGCATTCTCGGAAGGAGGTCAAGGCGTCCGAGACACTGACACTCCACGTCCCGAATCGAGAGGGCTGGGCGAGGGGGCCGGCCCGCTGACCACCGGCAAAACTTGATGTGCGTGAAGAGCTGCGCCCTCCAAAAAGGAAAGAGAGGGGAAAGGAGAGAGAGAGGGGAGAAAGAGAGAGAGAGATTGGGGGAGGGGGAGAAGGAGAGAGGCAGGCTTAGGTCAGGTGAAGTGATTCGATTCGGCTTTACAATTCACATTGTGTGGCTAGCCGGTACGCGGAGCCACGACGCAGAACTATGGAAGCCGTCGTTATGTTTCGCGTTGTGGTATGGCTCCGCCTTGTCACCCTCCGGCCTCCTCCTCGTGCCTCTGGTCAGAGGCGTCCCCAAAGTGCTGACGATGCTCTATTTAGACCGACCACTGCCATGGATAAAGATGAAATAGACCCGGGAATAGACGGGGAATTGCCCCCCCCCCCCGCACACAAACATACAACAAAATCATTGTAAATGCAATTCATTATGAAGTAAAACTACTCTGCTTCTGCATATAGCACACCAGGAAATTAAGCCAGCGACAACGCATGCGGTACTTAGCGTCTAGCTGAGGCACTTTAACAGTCGGAATCTCGGCAGGAGATCAGCTTGATGCGATCAAGGGAGCCGATGGGCTCGCCCATTGTCCACCATTCATTGTTTGCTACTGTTCCCTGGTCAACCCTCCTTGCGGTTCGCCACTATCATTAGCATGCAATTACACTCCCCAAAACGGTCGCAAATTTGTACCTGCCACCTGCCATTTTTTTTCAATGTTCATTGATTTAGGCGAGAAAATTGAAAACCTTTACATGTAATGCGATTTTTCTTTAAAAACCTAAAATAAATTTCTTCTATTTGTTTGCTTGTTTTACTAACTTGATTAAATCTTCTGTTCTCTTCTCACCTGGTTGGGTCGGGTCGGGTCAGGTCAGGCCGGTGAGTACACCGCACACGCTCGCTCCGCACACTGCACCACACTGCACTTGCACTCTCACTGCACCGCCGCGACACTGCTCGCGCTCGGCGCACTCGCGAGTCTGCGGACGCCCTGGACGCGAGGCGGCTCTCTCTGGCTGGTACTCCGTTTCTGCGGCGAGCCGGGACGCCACTGAGCGCGCGCCGCCCGCGGCACGGTCTTTTATAAACGAGGCAGACGGGGCGGGGCGCGGCGGGGCAAAGAAAGGCCCGCTCCAGCCAAAGCGCGCAACCGAAAGTTTTACAAGGGGAGAAAAGTACTGCTAAAGACAACCCTCCTTGTACATGGCAAACTAGTGTGTAGTAGTAACTCCCGAAATCCGTAATCCGTAATCCGAAAAGTACGTCCGTCACTCTCCGTCATGAACTTGAAAAGTTTAACCTATGCAGGCTCTCATAGCGCCTGATACGTATGCAACATCTTACCTGCAATGCATGCGAGTACTGCGGGGTGGCCTACCCCGAGTCTCGCAGGCGCTGAGCTACCGTATTTTGCCACATGAACATGACAGGAAAACTGACGTACTTTCTGGACGATCCCTAACCGAATCGCCCCTCAGCCCTTCCATTCCTATAAAAAAATAAAATAAACAATAACGGGACAGTAACTTCGACTGCAGTTTGGACGTGCAGTCTGCTTGAAATTCCGTCTTTGTAAAAGCATTTCAAAAAAACACGTCTATTCTTCTGCGCCGCTGGCTCTGCTGCTAGTAAACACCATACCCGTCTGGTTTAATGCCTCTTCCGCGACGGACGGATTTCATAGCGCAGGGAGTCCATATAAACAGCTGCAACGTGTGATTAATAGAGTTTTTAATTCTGCCCGGGGCTCGGCTCACCTTTACGCTCGGCGCGCGTACTGAAATGTGGCGGGCGCTACGGATGGGGCTCTATTTAAGACGCACCGACAATAATACGTCACTTGTTTTGTGAGGACTTATAAATTGAAAACTGGCGCTGAGCTGTACTCTGCCACCAGCGTTGAAGTCACCACCTTGTCACAAGGTTACACGGAGCAGTGACGAGCACATCATTTTAAATGAATTCCTCGGTCGTTACGACCCTACGACTGTCAATTCCAAAATAAAATTTAAATAAAGTGTACGTGCCCATATACACTTTATTTAAGTATACATGCCATGTAAAGATTTAAATTGACATAGTGACACTCTCTATACTGATGTCAATGACCTAAACGTTTTCGGGCTTGTACGGTTCACCTCGTGGTTGGTAACCCCGTTTATGTCCCTGTCCACAACGAAAGTCTCGGTGGCCGAGCCATGGGCACATACACGACCAAAGCGACGAGTTTTGACAGTGTTGGGTCCAAAAGGGACGACGAGAAAGCCCGGCAACTGACAGAGGGACACACTGCTGCGTCTTTGGACCGGATGTCTTATAGCGACACGCAAGTCGGTTCAACAAGTGCGGGGCGGGGCGGCGCGGCGGAGAGACGACGACCAGCCCATCTCGACTCTTTTGGACATTTGCGTTTTCGAGGTCGGATGCTGACTGCCTCTTCCCCTGGCTTCCCCCCACCGTCACTCTTGGGCTCTGCTTCTTCTCCCCTCCCCCCCCCCCCCCTTCTACCTCCTCTTCCCAGCACAGCTGATACATGTGGGTTAGCGAGTCGTCGCGTCCAAGGGCTCCATTCACGTGTCCAGAGCGTCCTGCACCACGAAGTACGTACGTCCCTAGTCCGGCGGCCCCCCTCTTGCCCGAAATTAGGGGGGTATTATCACAAGACGACAAATGGTGCCGCTGTAGAGGACCACAAAAAAGAAAGCACGCCGTTTTTTTCTGTTGTCATCCTGGACTGTCTGTTGTGTTGTTTGCAGTCGCAGGAGAGTATGTCATTATTCAAAGGATCGCGTCCGCTGCAGTTACACGCATTAGCCTTATTAAGATGAGATGTCAAATTTAGACGTTGTTTTTTTTTTCTTCCTTTTTTTCTTTTTTATGCTCTCCCTACGCGGGACGGTGACGCACTTAGCGGTCGGGACAGTCGCCGGTCAGCCGTCCAAAACTGTCTGTTTTGTGCAAAGAGGGCTCCTGGAGCACTCCGCGGCGAGTGGTCACGGGTCATCACGGTCTAATTGGGCGTCAAGCCCGCGGCGCCGGGAGTCCGAAATTTTTGCCGCCTGCTTACTTTTTCCGTAAAGAGGCAGCAGAGCATACCAACCAATCAAAAATAAACTGCAACCGAAAAAAGCAAGAATGACAGTTCTAATGATGCACATGTCCACCGTTGAAAATGCTGTAAGGAAGAACAGTTTGCTTACCGTCCGTCCTGTACACTTCATGTACGGGCTGGACAGTAAAGACGGTTGTGAAGTTACAGTACATCCTGTACCTCCTCCGCTCTCCCCTCTCCCTCTGCGCCTGTACGCCAGTGTGTAGGCAACCCATCTAGCTGGCGCATTTTCCCCTGGACACCCAGTATGGAGTGGACCGTAAATCCAAAATCACGGTCGCGGACCTGTTAACAAATTGACATGGCGCACTGTAAGTATTTCCCGAATGTCGCACACTTGTAGGTGTTTGAATGTCCACACTTAAGGCAGTAAAGGTGTGGAAAAAATCCTTAAAAATTCACACACTTGTACATTCTCGTGTAGGAATGCCGTTTACACACCTACAAGTGTGCGACATTCGGTTTCCGGTAAACAACCAATCAAAACCAAATGCAACCAAAAAAGTAAAAAAAATTAAATAAAAATCTTAATGATATAAAAACAACAATAAAACGCAATCACAGCCGCGCTGCTTAAAAGATGGCAACAATAATCACTCCTTTCCTTCGCGACCCCCGCTCCTTTCTCTAATTAGCCGTACACGTCGGGTCGGTACATCATCGCGGCGCGCACATCTGGTCGTGCATCACCCGCGGGGCCCCGGCCGGGGCCGGCGCGCGCGGGCGGAGGGGCCTAAGTGAGGTGACGAGGTGCTCACTCATCAGGGCGGCCGAAAACACAAACGCCGTGTACGTACCGCTCCGTTACGGGCAGGGCGCTGCTAGCTTGTTTATCTAGGCTAACACACACCCGCGAAGCGTCAGAGAGGAGGGAAAAAATTGGGTTATAGTAGTAGTGGCGGTGTATACAGGAATAATTACTACTTAGTATTTAAAGAGTTCAAAAAAAGAGTGATGGGAGAGGTTTTCAATTATTATTGTGTGTGTAACTTTGTGTTAAACAGGAACAGGAAATGAATCACGCGACGGTCTAAGTACAGCTTTCATATGCTATCGAGCCGAAATAATGATTGTTTTCTCATTAAAGGTACACGCGGTTACGGTCTCGCAGTAGTAGTCTGTTGTTCTTTACCCGGTTCTTGTACACCGATATCATCGTTTTGGTTGCGCGTCGTCGTGATGATTGCCGTTTGCCATACGGGAGGTGCGGCCGCGTTAAACCTGATAAGAGCTGCGTGATGAATGCGTTCCCGTGTAGCAAGTGGCCCGGCCCCAGCAGAGAGGCCCCGCGCCAGGCCCCGCCAGGCCCGCCCTCCTCCTCCCCGGCGCCATCACCGCGGCCATCAGCGCGGCCGCCGGCGCCGCCCCGTCCACCCATCACTGTCCCGACAGAGTTGTAACTCTGTGACATGCCACTCGGCACTCTAGGCTGGGCAGCGTGCGTCGTGTGCGAAAGAGCACTCTTTTTAACAAGGCTGGAGTACGGGGTTGCGTCGCACCAGCGCAAGTTATCCTACACGTTGCTCAGGAGGAACTGTAACTGTACGGCAGGAAGGGACTAACCTTCCCACTGACTCCAACTTTTAAAAGAAAATTCGCGCGCTAAACACACTCCTACCTGCGACCTGCAAGACGCGGCCCGGGCCAAAGCGCCTGGGAGGCAGACACCCGGCAACCCGGCACACACAGCAGCGTCCGTCCCGATGTGTTGCCTACGCTGCAGGCGCCCTGCAGAGAGAAAGAGTGTGTGTGTTGGCCATCTGCTCGGGGAATTCGTTTAAACCGGCTGAACAAAATTGATGTGCTGTTCCTGTGATGAGATGCGGATGCGCAGCGCACAGTGAAAAAGAATGAATCAACACATTATTTAAGTATTAAAAAAAAAAAATCACTATTATTATCTGCTGTAAATAGTCCGTTTTTTCCATTACCTCTTTCTTTATATGCAGGACAGCCACCGGAGCCTTGAACGGACTGCAAAATCCCACTCACAATGTGCACTTCAAAACCACATTTTTTTTCCCCTAACAGTGTTACATCAAAAATTTATTACCCGCCCGGGTATTCGTCCCACTTTTGACTGACCCAGGTCCAGTGGCGCATGGGCCCCTTTGGTGCTGATGACTATGGGAGCTGTCGGACCCGTTAATTAGCAACAATGGATGCCCTGCGCGCCGCGCCGCCGCGCCTCACCGACCGGTACACCTACTCTAACTTCCCCCTAAAACCTCAATGCACGGGTGGCCACATTAGGCTCACACACACGGCAGTACACGCGCCGGGGCAGACGCCGTCTCGACGAGTTGGCCGGTGTCGGAGCTAAAGACTAGAACATAGCCGGGCGCGCTGGCGTATTTATCAAAACCAAATGAAAAGCCGAGGGGGCAAGAACTCCGGGAATCATGTGTACACCTGCATGGGAATCATCAGGATAAAAATTAGTCGATATCAACAGAAATGGCTGAAACTTAGCGGGAAACTATTGGAACTAGTATAAATCTAGATGAAATAAGCGGAAATAAGCGTTTTCTACCTCTAGGAAACCTAAGGAATAAAAATATAAACTGACGGGAATCACTGGGAATCAAGTATATTTCGGGAATCATGTGTACACATCAAAAGGGAGTTATTGCCCCCTCGTGAAAAGCAAAAACAACGTGGTCATTAGAAACATTGTTTTGCTGGGACCCTTTCACGGATTAATCTCCAAATTCCGAATCGCCCTATCAGAACTCATCAACGGTTGTTACTCCGCTACTCTGCGAAACATCGAATACCCTACATTTCTCTATCTCTCTCAAGCCAAGCCGGTAGTGCTCGTCTGCATAATTCGTAAATTTTTTCGGATGTGAACGTGCCTTGCCTGTTTCTTCCCTCGCGTATGGTTGTGTGTGTCCGTGCGAGTGTATTTGTGCAAAGCAGGAGCGCGATATGGA